TATTGGGAAGTCTTGGAGGGAGTGTGTGCTCCGCCTGCTGGCTGTGAAGCTCACAGCTGCTAGGAGTCCAACAATTAAAACAGAAAACCAAACCAGCTCTAAATTGGCTTAGTAGAACTTAGCATCTCCTAGAGGATAGTGGGGAACAGCTGGGAAAACTATTACTTAGAATCAGAATACTTTCCAAAATGAGAGACTTGGTGGTTTAATTGAAAGGGACCTAGAGAAAGGAAATGCGTTGGTGAGCCAAATATGGGAAGCCTGAGCTTGGTCAGGTGTTTCTAACCAGAGATTGTCCAAGAGAAGGCAGGAATATATTCCTGAGAATGTAACAGATGATAGCTCAAAAGTATTAGGAAATTGAGGAACTAAAGTATGACCATGATGCTAAAAGAAGAGTAAATGGGAGGACCTCGTGGGTAGGCACACTGATAAATTCATTACAAAGTAATCTTTTCAGAAGTCGGACAGCGAGGGTAAGAGCAAAAGAAAAGGATGAACATGAGTAAGAGGTAGATTGTGTGTGTTGCATGTGTGCCCCAAATCCTGAAAGGTGGGCATTTTGGAGAAGGAATTATGGCATGACCATTCCCCATAGGGAGTGCTTTATCCTCTCCCTCTCTGCTCTTCTCTGATGGGCGGGGTTGGGTGGGAAGCATATGAAGAGAACCTTAGAGAATGTGGCTTGGTACAATTTGGTGATTGACGAAGGAATCATTGTTTACGATGAATTGTGTTCTTCTCCTGATTACAGAGTGGAAGTAAAATTTTTATTGCTTCATTTATTTTTTTTAATTGCTTTTGTTGTCTGTTAAGAAGGGTTATTCAAACCAAAAGAGCTGAGACAAATCCTACGGCAGAGAATAATTTTTTAAAATTTTATCTTTATTTATTTATTTATTTTAGTTTGACCAGAGAGAGGGAGAGAGAGAGGGAGAGGGAAAGTGAGAAAGCAAACCTCCAGGTTCGGGACTCAAACCGCAGTTGGCCATGGGGGAATCCAGCGCCCTTAACCACCACACCACCTGCCCATCCCAAGCAGAGAGTGAATTTCTGAAAAGAATTACAGCGCTGTGGTCTTTGAGGACTCTTTGTCTTAATAGGAACCCCTCTTTTCTACCCAAATTCTGAATATTTAATGCAAAAGAAGACAGATTGGAGCTGAGATATCCCCTTTTCTCCAATAACATGAGTACGGAGAATGTGCACTTTCTAATACCAACTTCCAAACCTGCCCCCGCGTTACTGGAATAAGGGGGGTACCCCTGCAGGCCCCCTGCAGGGCAAAGAGGTGGGAGTGCTGTGATTAGGTGAAAGTCCCTGTGGGCTGAGCCTCCTATCAGAAATGGGAAAGCACTCTCCCTTCTAAGGAAACAAGGAAAATGGGGAATTTCTGTTTTCAAAATTTGCTATAGGGTGTGTGCTCTCACCAGAGAAAGGGAGAGGAAAAGTGAGAAAATAGCCCCCCCCTGGGGGGATAACCACTGTTCAGTCCCTTCTCTTTTAATCCCTTCTCTTTTATTTTGGGCATGCTTGCACCTAAGCCTGGGGTGTGTTCCCCACCCCCCATTTAAAAAAATACTTACTGTCTATTTGTTGTGATTTTCAAGCTGCTGGGTCTAGGACTCACACCATGGTCAGCAGTGTGGGAATCTAGTGTCTCAACTACCATACCACCTACTGACCCAGCCTGGTATGTTTTTCAAACTTCTGGGTCTGGGACTTAAACTTGTGCAGTTGGCCATGTGGGATCCAGCCACCCTAACTACCATAATATGATCAACTAGTCCAAAAGGGACATTTGAAAACAACTTCTGAAAGGAGAAGTAAGCAAAGTGATTTAAAGGCTGATGGACTGGTGTCAATTTCAGTAGGAGTCTAAATTCGGTTATCAAAAAAATGGCTTTGGGTTGGCTTCATAACCTAGTGGTTAAGTGAGCTGGGTAGACCCCACATGGCCGACCACAGTTTGAATCTCTGCCCTGATACCTTGCACACATATACCCAAATTCCTGCCTGACAGAGAGATGGGTGAGAAGGAATTGCAGCATGCCGTCTTACTCTTCCTCTGTCTCTGTGTCTGGTGAGTGCACCTGCACTCCAACACCTGAAAAAGTTTTAATTCATTCCCTTTGTTGCTTGGTAAAATATTGGATTATAGGAATGATATGGTTATTGTGGCTCTTTGTTTTGTTTTGTTTTGGTTAGAGACATTTTTGCTACAGGGCACTCATTGCCAGAGAGAGACAAAGAGACATAAAGTGAGAAATCACCCCCTATGGGGATGGCAATGCAGCAATCGTTCTCTTCCATTCTCTTGGGATCCTGGGCACGTACACACACATGGCTGGCATGAGTTTCAAGCCTCCAGGTCTAGGATTTGAACCACGATTGACTCTGGGAATCCAGAGACATAACCATTGTTCAGTCTGCTAGTCCCTATAGTTCTACCAGAACCTCCTTCAGACAAGCCAACTTAATCTACTCTTTTTTTAATTTCATTTCATTTATTTATTCAGTTTTTTTTAATTTGACCAGAGAGAGAGAAAGCAAGCCACCAAGTCTAGGACTCAAACTGAGGTTAACTGTGTGAGAGTGTCCAGTGCCTTAACCACAACCACCATGCCACCTGCTGGTCCCCAACTTAATCTACTTTTGAAAACCAGGGAGAGGGATCAGCAGATGGTGTAATGGTTTTGTCGCTGGACTCCCACATAGTCTACAGTGGTTGAATCCCAGGCTTGGTGGCTTTAAACTCACACCAGGCACTTGTGTGCACACTCAAAACCCTGAGAGGCGAGTGGAAGAGAAGGTACTGTGGTGTGGCCATCCTCCCAGGGCAGGGAGTTCTCACTGTCTGTCTCATTGTCTCTTTGGCGAGCACATGTGCCCTATAGCAAAATCTCTTTTAAAAAAGGGGAGAGGGGGTAGCAGGTGGTGTGGTGGTTAAGGTGCTGGAATTACCACACAGGCTACTGTGGTTTGAGTCCTGGAACTGGCGGCTTGCTTTCTAACTCCTCTTCTCTGTCTTTTTGTGGCAAAACTCATGTTAGATAGATAGATATCCTCTGGCAAAACTCATGATTGATAGATAGATAGGTAGGTAGATGATAGTTTCTCTGGCAAAACTCATGTTAGATAGAAGATAGATAGATAGATAGATAGATAGATAGATAGATAGATAGATAGATAGATAGATAGATAGAAAGAAAGAAAGAATAGAAAAAAAGAAAAGAATAATTCCCAAAAAGAAAGAAAACCAGGGAGGAGGGAGGAGTCGGCCAGAAAAGTTGACATGTTAAGCTCTCTTACACTGGCTGTCCACAGCTCTAGGAGCGTTTGAGATCAGAAGTCAGGACTTGAGATTCCAGTGTCTCTTTATACAAGTTACTATATGTTTCTGATTTGTATAACAAATACTTGTGAGTTCTTTTTATTTATTAGCTTTGTAACACTTTGGTGTATTTGTTTTATGGCACCTTTCCAGTAATAATTGCTCAGTTAGACAGAAGCCATATAGTCATCAAATTTTTTTCTTGAAAATGTGCTCCTGTTTGTAAAATTCATCATTTTTATTATAGAAAATTGGAAAGTCTAAGAAGAGAATTTAAAATGATCATGTCAGCGCCAGCTGGTGGTGTGGTTAAGTGCACTGGACTCCCACATGACTGACCACAGTTCAAGTCATTGCCCTGGTAGCTTGCTTTCTCACCATCCCACTCCCGCTCGCTCTGTCCCTCTCTGGTCAAATTAAAAATAAATAAACAAACAAATAAATAAGTAAAGTTAAATAAAGTAATTATTTTAGAAAACATTATAATCTCACTGCTCAGAGATAATCATTGTTAACATTTCAGTGTATAGTTTCCCAATGATACAATATTTTTTAAAAAGTAATCATTTATTTAATTTAATATATTCATTCATTTATTTTAATTTGATCAGAAAAACACACAGAGAGAAAGAGAAAGTGAGAGAGCAAGCCACCAGGTCCCGGATTCCATCCATGGGCACCCATGTGGGATTGTCCAGCACCTTAACTACCATGCCACCTGCTGGTCCCCGATACAATATTTTTTTTCCAAGGCAAAAATTGACAGTCCTTGGTTTAGATCCATCAAGAGTCTTTTTCTTATTTTTTCCTTTTCTTTTCTTTTTTAGGAGAGGTATTTGCTATAGGGCATGTGCACTCACCAAAAAGACAGAGAGATAGAAAGCAAGAAATCACCCCCAGGGGGAATGGCCATGCTGCAATCCCTTCTCCTCCATTCTCTTCTCTCAGGATCTTCGGCATGCCCGCACATGCCCCCGGCGTGAGTTTAACCCACCGGGTCTGGGACTTGAACCATGGTTGGCTACATGGGAGTTCTGCAACATAGCCATTGTGCTAACTACTGGTCCCAAGTCTTTTTCTTTTCTTAATGGAGAGATTTTTGCCATAGGGCACATGCCTCACCAGAGAGACAAGTGAAAAATCACTGCCCAGGGATGCGGCCACACTGCAATCCCGTCTCCATTCTCAGGATATTGGGCATGCATGCACACATACCCGGTGAGAATTTTAAGCCACCAGGTCCAGGACTCAAACTGTAGTTACTACATGGGAGTCCAGTGACATAACCATGAGGTCATCTGCTGGTTCCCCATCTAGAGTCTTTTTATAGAAAGAATGTTTTGTTGAGGACCAGCAGGTGGCATGGTGGTTAAGGCACTGGACTCCCACATGACTAACTGTGGTTTTTGAGTCTTCGACCTAGTGACTTGAAAATCATGCCAGCCATGTGTGCGTGCATGCCTAAAATCCCTGGAGGAGAGTGGAGTGGAAGGGATTGCAGCATGGCCATCCTCTCCTGAGGGTGATTTCTCACTTTCCATCTCACTGTCTCTCTCTAGTGAGCATACTTGCTCTCTGGCAAAAACCTTAAAAAGAAAGAAAAGAAAAAACATTCTGTTTTGATAAATTTCAAGAATCTTTCTTTCTCTCTCTCTCTCTCGGCTAGGTTTCTGCCTCAATGCTCAAGCAGTTTCCCAACAGTGGCCTGAGTCCAGGTCTTTTCAATGTGGGGCCCCAGTTATCTCCTCAACAAATTGCCATGCTGAGCCAGCTTCCACAGATTCCCCAGTTTCAGTTGGTAAGTAGCAAATTGTTTTCCTATAGCTCAAAAAGTTATTTGTATTATTTTCTTTAGCTTTGATTTGTTCATGTATCTTTGCTGCTGTTTATGTTTAAGAGCACTAGTTCAGGCTTTTGTGCAAACTGTTGAGTGTGCTTATGGGCTGATGTATATGCTTGGTGTGACCAGTAGGCCAGGATATCGAGGTATTTCTGTCATTGATGATTTTGATTCAGCAACCTGCACTTCAGTGCAGAAGCACACAAACCTGTTGTCAGTCAGTCTTGGGCAATCGGTTCCCTCTCTCCCCCTGGTTTTGTAGGCATGTCAGCTTCTCCTGCAGCAGCAACAGCAGCAGCAGTTGTTACAGAACCAGAGAAAGATTTCTCAAGCCGTGCGCCAACAGCAAGAGCAGCAGGTACGTGGGGCTGGACAATCGCGGTAGTGCTCCCTTTGAGGCATGCCTCTCAGTTCGTCCCCTTTGATGGCTGAACAGAATCCTATGCCAGCAGTTCTCATGGAGCTAGGACAGTGGCTTACAGCTCCTGTTTTCTCTCCGGCCTCCCCCTCCAGCTGGCTCGGATGGTGAGTGCACTCCAGCAGCAGCAGCAGCAGCAGCAGCAGCAGCAGAGGCAGCCCAGCATGAAGCACTCGCCATCTCATCCTGTTGGGCCCAAACCACACCTGGAAAACATGGTACCCAACACACTGAATGTGGGGCTCCCAGACCTACAAACCAAAGGGCCTATACCTGGATATGGTTCTGGTAAGCTGTTAGCAATAAAAGCTCCCTTTAAAAACCTGCCCCTCTAAGCCTAGGAGAGAGTTTGGACCTGCATTACTTTCATATTTCCAACAGCCATGAAAGGTAAATATTCTTCCTGTTTTACAAGTCAGTTATCTGAGGCTTCTCAAGTTTCAGTTGTTTCCCAAAACTCAACACACAATTAGAAAATAGCAGAGATGGCCTCTAAGCTCTCCAGCTCCAAAGGAATCTTTTACTATGAGGTGTTTATGAATGGCAAACCGCTCTCCTAGCACCAGGAGTTTTTAAAAACAAGTTTTAGTGTTTGGACATGCTGTGAGTGCTACACATGGCTGAGGCTATGAGCTATTAAATAATAATATGACAAGCTGAAGTGTTTAGGTTTGCTGATAAAATGACCTTCTCTTGAAAAAATAAAATTAAAATCATGAGGCAGATTGATTAAAAACTTATATTAGTGTTACATCTGAGTGAAATAGAATTAGCACAAGTAAGGTTATACCTTTGACATTCATCAAGAGTTTTTGGCAGGCAGAGTGTAGCTCTTTCAGAACTGGAACATGCTGTAAACTGAAGCTCATCAGTGAAGCAATAGTGATTTAAAACAAAATTAAAAAATCAAAGACATCGCACAGCACAGCGGTTTTCATCACCAACTGACAACTTTTAGAATTTACTTTGGTAAGGAGGATACTTAACTATTAATTTAAAAAATGAAGTCTTGGGGAGACCTGGAATTTCTGCCCACTGATGACCAAGTATGGGAGGATTCTGCTCTCTCTTCTGATTCACTGACTTTCCTATATCTTTATCTTCTACTAACTGTTCTCCTTTCTTTTCCTAAAAAAAATGATTATTCATTTAATTTTGTTTATTATTATTAAGTTTGCTATAGGGCATGTACACTCAACAGAGAAAAAGAGAGAAAGCAAGCTGCTAGTACAGGTCTCAAACCGCAGTCAGCCATGTGGGAGTCTAGCGCTTTTACCACCATGTCACCTGCTGGCCCCAACTGTTCTCTTTCTTAAAAAAACGATCTGAGAACTGAACTTAAATTCAGGATAACCTTGCTTCCACTTGGCATAAAAGCAGGGCACCCTCTCTTTTCATCCCATGTCTTTTATTTGGAGCTCTTGAATGCTGAGGTCCCTGAATGACTCGAAGAGGTCATTGCCACTGGGTGTCTAGCCTCCACCTTCTCGATCATGGTTTCTGTTGAAGATAAAGCTTGATGAAAGAGCCTGCGTATTTTGCCATGAGTTAAGTTGTTCTGAATTCATACACAGCATGCGCTATGGTTCCTACCTCCTCCACCCACTTTTGTCAGAGTGCTTAGTTCTTCAGTAGAGTCCAGTCAGCGCAAAGGAGACAGCATCTCAAAGTCAGAGGAGCTTCTTACCATGTTTTAAATGTATGTGGTTCTTTTTAACTCTTTGCTGCACTCATGCATGGTCCATGTCATTACTAAAAAGAGAACCTTCTTCCAGCAGCTTGAACAGTGATTTTTTTTTTTTTCCTTAAGAGAGATTTTTGCTATAGGTTGTGTGTGCTTTTCAGACAGAGACAGAAAAAGTGAGAAGTCACCCTCCAGGGGGTATGGCCACACCAGAATCCTTCTTCATTCTCTTCTTGGGATTTTGGGCATGCATGCACATGTGTCTGGCATGATTTTCAAGCTACCAGGTCTGGGACTTGAATCGCAGTTGACCATATGAGAGTCCAGCACCTTAACCACCATGCCACCTGCAGGCCCCTTAGTCTGCCTTGATAAAGCCACTTTTTAGTATATTTTCTCAGGATTAAAAGGTTGAAATGACTAATGAGTATGTGATTTTTACTGATTATTTTATAAAATAGCTTCTGATCTCTGCTTTTAGCAAAATTTGAAAATATACCTCATTGAATTGTTCAGCGACAATGACCTATTTAAAATTCTGTTTTAGTGTCTATTTTATGGCATTAGGGAAGATTTGAGATTTAAGTACTGCTGTAACCAGACTTCTGTTCTCATCTGTTTATTTATATGAGTAAGATTTCTTGGGAACCAGCAGTTAGCGTAATGGCTATGTCGCTGTACTCCCACCTAGTCGACCGTGGTTCGTGTCCCTCACCCGGTGGCTTGAAACTCACACTGGGCGCGTGTGCATGCGTGCCCAAGATCCCGAGAGGAGAATGGAGGAGAAGGGATTGCGGTGTGACCATCCCCCCGGGGGGTGATTTCTCGCTTTCTTTCTCTATGTCTCTCTCTGTCTGTCTGGCGAGCGCACGCGCCCTATTAGCAAAAATACCTCCCCCCCCCAAAAAAAAAAAGATTTCTTGATGCTTTACATCTCAAAAAAAAAAAAAAAAACTTGAACCCTGTCTCATTAAAAATTTGACACTTGAGTCTGACAGGTGGCGTGTTGGTTAAAGACACTGAATTCCCACATGGCTGGCTGTGGTTCAAGTCCCGGACTTGGTGACTTTCTTTTTCCCTTTCCCTTTCTTTCTCTCTCTCTGTCTTTCTCTGGTCAAATTAAAAAATAATAGCAACAAATGGAATTAAATAAATAAATAAATACAGCTCTTTAGAAAACAGTTGAAACTTGGCTCAGCACGTAGTATGGTGGTTAAGGTGCTAGGCTCCCACATGGTCGACCATGGTTCAAGTCCCAGACCTGGCAGCTTACTTTCTTACTTTCCCACTGTCTTGTGAGCACATGTGTCCTATAGCAAATTAAATAATAAATAAACAGTTTAAAAAATGACACTTAACGGGGCTGGCAGGTGTCATGGTAGATAAGGATGCTGGCTGGACTCCCCCATGGCTGACTGTGGTTCAAGTCCTGGACCTGGTAGCTTGCTTTCTCTCTCTGTTCCTCTCTGGTCAAATTAAAATAAATGAGTAAATAAAGTTAAATTGTTTTTTCTTTTCTTGAAGAGGTTTTTGCTACAGGGCACATGCACTCGCCAGAAAGATGGAGAGAGACAGACAGAAAGCAAGAAATCACCCCCACCCCCCCCCAGAGGGGATGGCCACACCACAATCCCTTCTCTTCCATTCTCCTTGGGATCTTGGGCACACATGCACATGTGCCTGGCTTGAGTTTAAGCCACCTGGTCCAGGACTCGAACCACGGTCAACTACATGGGAGTTCAGCTATGTAGCCATTACGCTAACTGCTAGTCCCTAAATAAAATAATTTTTAAAAATTTTAAAATGACAACTAAAAATAAAATGTTCTAGTTAGTCTTAGTGGGTAACAAAACTGAAAAACAGTCATCATCTTATTAGAAAACACATTTCTAATAAAATTTTACTTTTATGTTTAAAATTTTTCAAAATTAGTAATTTTCATTCATGTAGTATACCCAACAAAAAGGAGAACTCTGAATATTGGAAATTATAAATACGACAGAGATATACTTTGTGTCTGTGCTGGGATTGTGATCGTATCAATGTCAGGGATGCTGTGGACGTTGACTAAGACAGTTGTGTTAGGAAAGCCAATCTGTTGCTTTTATAATTCATCCTTCATTATTATAAAAGCAGTATTTATTAATTTACTTATTTACTTATTTTAGAGAGATTTTTGCTATAGGGTGCTTGCACTCACTGGAGAGACAGACCGAGAAATCACCCCCCAGGGGAGATGGGCACGCCACAATCCCTTTTCCTCCATTCTCCTCTCAGGATTCTGGGCATATGCCCAATATGATTTTCAAGTCTCTGAGTCAGGGACTTGAACTGCAGTCAGCCATGTGACTGTCCAACACCTTAACTACTACACTACCTGCTGGCCCCTGTAACTTAATTTTCTACACTTCCTGTGTCACAAATTAGAATTAGCTTAAATTGAATAACTTTCATTTGGTAGGAATCTTACAGGATTTTAGAGTAGCTTTAACGAGAAGTAATGTATAGTGGCCAGCAGGTGGCATGGTGGCTAAGGTGTTGGACTTCCACATGGCTGGCTGTGGTTCAGCTCTCAGATCGGGCAGATTGCTTTCTCACTTTCCTTATCTCTCTCTGTCTCTGTCTCTCTTTGGTCGGATTTAAAAATAGCAATAATAATAAGTAAAGTTAAATTTTCAAAGAAAATAATTAATATAAAGAATGGCTCATTATCTTCTTATTAATCCTTGCAGTCTTTTTAATGTTTGCCAGAATCACATGTTATTTTTCAGCAGTTCTTTCTCAGTGGTTGGTACTAAGCTTTTACATGTTCTGGAATACACGTGCTTTGCCGGGTCTTCTTTCTCAAGGAGCAATCTGTCTGGGCCACTAGCACCTGTATCCGAGAAAGCCCTTGTTCTCTCCACCTCTCTGTCCTTCAGTCTCATTTCGTTTCTGCTCCATAAGACCAAAGAAAAAATAACTCTGACTTTTTTAAATTTTGAACATTTTTACCTCATTCTAAGGATTTCTGTTCCCTACCCCATCCCATCCTCCAATCAATCACTTGGACTAGTAAGTTCAGTTACAAACAGTATGAAGAAACTGTTCTCTATATAAATAACAGCATTTTAAATCAAGGTCAGAAGGTGTTATACTTTGGGCAGGGCCTTAACACATCAGCTGCATCCACAGGACTGGTTTGACTCTCCACCCTGAGGCTTGAAAACACACTGAGTGAATGTGTGCCCCAAATCCTAATGGGACGGAGAACTGGAGGAAAGGGATTACAGTGTGAATGCACTCCACTGGGGGGTGCACGGGTGGTCTCTCCCTCTCTCTGGCAAGCACACTTGCTCTCTGGCAATTTTTTAAAGAAAAGTATTAGATGGGGCTGCCAGGTGGCATGGTGGTTAAGGCACTGGATTCCCACAGGGAGGACTGTGGTTCAAGTCCTGGCCCTGGCAGCTTGAAAATCACTCCAGGCGCATGTGCATACATGCCCAGAATCCCAAGAAGAGAATAGAAGAGGAATTGCAGTGTGACCATCCCTCTTGGGGGTGATTTTTACTTTCCTTTTCTCACTTTCCCTCTCTTCATCTCTCTCCATCAAGAACACATGCCCTATGGCAGAAACCAAAAGACGAAAAAGTGCTAGGTTTCAGTTTGATTTATCATGCATTTTAAAACTACCTCAGACAAGTAGAATAATGACGAGAAGGAAAAAACAGGACCTGGGTTCTCAGTGGATTTGAATAAATGGAGCTTGAGGACTAGTAAGGTGCCATCAGCTGGTAGGTGCCAGATGGATGCAGCCTTGTCTGCCCCTGCTGGAGGTGCATCTCGTGGGTAAGAGCAGCTCGACTTTGAGGTGATGGGCCCTCTCCCACCTTCCAGGAAGCCTGCACTTGTGCTGCTGTTGCTGTAGTTACTGTGGCCAATTCTCTTTTTTCTGTGGTTTTTCATTATCCTTCCCCTTTCCTATTTCATTTCTCTCATTTAATTTTCTATTTTCCTTTCTTGAGAGTCGATTTGTTGAAGTATTACATACATTTTGATAAATGGATGGTGGACCCTTGAGACCCTTAACAAGCTTTTTGTGTGACTTTTCGCTCTTGGGCTCTGTGCAATGGGGAGGCATTACTCACTGTCATAAACTGAGTAGTGGGACACTCCCCTGGTGCCACCTGAGGCTTCCCTGAGGGTCATGGCACAGAGAGGCCTTCTTGAGCTTTGGGGTCTACTTCATTGCATAAAGGCTGCTTTCAATTGGTTTTTCAGATTCCGTCCTGACCGCCACCTGCCCCAGTGTCAGCGCTGATGACTGTTCTTTCTCTAAAGTACTGGGTCGTCGGAAAAGCCGTGACGTGTTTTTCTATGCAAAAAAGTATCATGACTTTTCCAACGTCCCAGTACAAAGCTAGTCATCTCTCTCTTGCTTAAAAACTTCTTTATCTTCTGTCTTAGAAAGTAAAAGTCCCCAAGTCCTTGTTCTGATGAACACTTTACACAACGTGACTCTCATTTCTCCCTGTCCCATTCCACGCTCCACTGTACTTCATCCCATAATTTGCTGAACGTAGAAGTCACGATGGACATCTCACAGGTTCACAATGACACTTGATTGTCAAGGATCAGAGCTTCAGCCTGGTTTCCCGGATTACCCAACTATCTGCTATAAGCCCTAGGTCACATTTTGCTGCAGAGACTCTTCTTCCCTGTGATACCCTTCTAACCACCCTGTCGCTGCAGTGAGCCATACTGGTTTGATCGGTAGTCTTCTCATCTCAGCTGGAGGGCCCCTGCCCCCACACCCTGAGTGGCGCAGAAGTGAGCTGCATGGAAAAGTGGCTGCCTGAGTGCACTGAGCCAGACTTTGTTAGATGGTGGGCACGTGCCTTTCAGACCTTCACTAAGAGTTCGCTTTTTTAGCAAGCAGTAACCAAGTTTAGGTTTTTGAATCAGCACATCTGTTTCTGAGTAGAGAGCTTTATGAGTTAGTCTGTGAGTAACAAATGAAAGCAGTCATGGTTATTGGTACAGGAAGTTTACAGAAAGACATAAAATGTGGTGCTCTCCATTACAGGCTTCAGCTCTGGCAGCATGGACTATGGCATGGTTGGTGGGAAGGAGGCCGGAACCGAGTCTCGCTTTAAACAGTGGACCTCCATGATGGAGGGACTGCCCTCTGTAGCCACACAGGAAGCAAATATGCACAAAAATGGTAAGAGCAAGCAAAACCAGCCATATTGGAGCTGTTCTGGTCCTTGGCAGGCCTTTACAGAGTATCTTATAGGATTATTTTAAAGCATAGCTCTTTGATGTTTTCTTTTTTATTTTGGCCAGAGAGCATGTGTGCTCACTGGGGAGATGGAGAAGGGAAGAGAGAGAGGGAGGAAGAAAGCACTCCCCATGGGGAGTGGGCTCTCTGCACTCCCTTCTCCTCCATTTCTCTGTCCTTTGGGATTTGGGGTACTCATGATTTCAGTGGTTTTTTTCAAGCTGCCAGGTCCTGATCTGTGTAGTTGGCCATGTGGGATTTGGCTACTTTAATCACACCACCGGCTGGCCCAGCTTTTTCTTTTGAATCTCTTTATTTTTCTTTTTCCTCCTAGTCTTATGATCATTTATGAGAAGATGTTGGGCCTATAGTTATTTCAAATGACAAGAAATTTAAAGTGCTAATTGTAATTAAGGGGAATAAAATTTCCTACCTGCTGTGGAGCTAAGGGTAGTAGTTGTGAACTTGAGCACCCGCAGGGCAAACCATAATAATCTGGCTGAGAGAACGGGCCCAGCTCACTGCCTTTTTGTTTCATTTGCTTGCGGAGCAGAAGATCACAAAAGTGCGTGCATACACACATACCTATTGGGTTGCCGGGAAAATCATGATGTATTTTTCTGTTTCTCTGTGCAAAAATGCGTCATGGCTTTTCTGACTACCCAACACACACACAAACACATGGATTATTTGAACAATGTTAAGTGCATCTTCTTTTAACATTGTTCTGTCCTTTAATCCCCAAAATATGACTGACAGATCAAAGTACTTTGGATTTTAACTTTTTGCAAAACTTTCTTGTTCTTTGTTGTCTACAAGACAGCATTTGAGGCCAATGCAGGCTTCGGACGTGAATGCGGACCGACTCTTCCTCTCCATGATTCTCTGTAAGGACTTCTGCATTTCCCTGTAAAATGGATAAAAGGTCTCAGAACCTTCCTTCAGGCTTTGTTCCAATGTTTGTTTCATTTGACAGTAATTCACTTGGACTCAACTGTACCCATGAGAACCGGGTATAAAATAGTGTCTGGCTATTCCCGCTGCAGCTCCCTGGCAGGCCTCAGTCCCAGTCATTCCATCTGATGCCTTTCAGGTTTCCGTTATGAGCCATTCTTTAAGAAGCCCATCTAGGAGCCTGGTAGAGTAGCCACGTGGAGTTCTCAGCCTGCTGTCCCTAAGCACTATCACTAGATTTCATATAAAAACAAGAGTGATTCATCGCAATTATAAAACCTGTTTATAGACTGAATAAGCTGACCTTGGTGTCATCTCTACCTTTGGGCACTTTCATTGCTTCGTAAATGATTATTCACCAGGTCCCCTTGTCCCCAAAGACGTGATAAGTGTGTGATAATAAATACAGAATGGCATGTGAGAGCATATCTCAAAGGTAAAGTATCTGCTTGCCTTTTTAAAGCTTGTAGATAATATTTTCCCCATTTCCTTAGCAGTCCCCGAGGTAATAGAGCTTTCATTTTCCACTGCTTCACGGAAATGTGCCCCTGAGCCAGATTTCTGTCAGTGGCTTCTGCAAAGTAAATGCCCTCTCAGCTGAGCGTGGAGGTAGTTTTGATAATATTCCTTTTAGGCCAAACCAAGCAGATTATTTTAATCAATATTTACACAACTATTTTGTTACCCTGAAAATAATGTTATTTATTCATAAGCAGCATCCTAAGAATAGATGAAGTGACGTAGTGCAGTGTGCAAAATTTAAAGTAAAGCACTTCTTTTGTTGTTAGTTTAAAGGAATTGTAAGCTTTTAATTTTTTTTTCCTGCCTGTAGCACGTAAAATACAAGAAGGGGGGCACTGACCAAACCACTGAAATGCCCTTGGAAAGCAGTTACAAAGGATTTGCTGTTCTTCGTGTGTGAGGCCATGGATCCCTGCGCTGTAGAGTGCTCTGCTGGCCTTGTGCTGGCAGAGACCCTGGGCGAGAATTCCATCTCATTGCCTTGGAATTTAAAGCAATCGCAGATGCTTTTCTCTCCAGTGGGTTCTCTCTTTATAGTACTGCTTCTGCTGGTCTAGGCTGATCAGCACTTACGAACTTGAGTGGGTAGCATCCCCCTTATGTGCTGCAAGTTATTTAATATTTTCCTCATTTCTTACTCCTCAGTAATTGTCATAGAAACGGGAGATGATGATATAATCTGTAGTCTGTACGCATTTTGCTAAATTTCTTAAGATGACAACATTCAAGAATGAGAGTGATCCTCTGTGCTTAAGTAGTAAACTGAGAAGCTTGGACAAGTGAACTGAGTTGTGCATGGTCTTGCTGCTTCTTCCTTAACCGCTGAGATTGCAGGACAGCCGCATTCCAGTATTCTTTGTAATCCGTAGGCTTCAGCATCTGTATTTATTTATGTTCCTTTGAGTAAAAAATAGACAGCTCGTGTACATAGAAGTTCTTTCTGGGTTAATCGATTTTCTCTCTTTTTTTCAGGCGCTATAGTGGCCCCTGGTAAAGCCCGAGGAGGGTCACCATACAACCAGTTTGATATCATCTCGGGTGACACACTGGGTGGCCATACGGGTCCTGCTGGTGATAGCTGGTTACCTGCCAAATCTCCACCAACAAATAAAGTCGGAAGTAAATCCAGCAATGCCAGCTGGCCTCCAGGTATTGTGCAGGCAATGCTTTTTCTAGGATGTTGTTTGTTTTCAATGTTAATTTCAGGTCCTTAACACTGTTTTGGCAACCCACTTAACTAAGGCACTGGCTTTTATTTACTAATTACTGTCTAAGAACAGCAAACAGGAGCTGTGGGAAGACAGAAATTCTTCATTAGTTTGGGAGTCTGGGAATAATTGAGGGTGACATTGAAGTGTCTCTCGGCTTGATTTGTTTATTCATTACACAGGTATTTATTTTTCAGGTTTCAGGAATGCAGTAGTGAATGCAGTGAGATTATTGGTTGATTTTTTTCCCCCTTTCTATCTTTGGCATAGTCAGTTTTCATTGTAGAAAAATCAGAAAAGTCATTGGCATAGAAACTGAAGATAATGGTGTGATCTGTAATTCGTAAACATTTTGTTAATTTCGTAAGACCATAAACATTTTTTTAGAGATCTTTTGCTGTAAGGTGCGTGTGCTTGCTGGAGAGAAGGACGGAGAGACAGAAAGTGAGAAATCACAACTCCCATCCCTTCTGCATTCTCCTCTTGGGATCTTGGGCACACACACATACCTGGAGTGGTTTTTAAGCTATCGGGACTCGAACTGCGGTCGACTATGTCAGTCCAGTGACATAACCACTATGCCATCTGCTGGTCCCAAGACCATAGAATTTTTAGAGAAAAGTTAGTAAAGTACAAGTAAAAATCAGTATTTCCATGAATATGTTATATGTCCTAGACCTTTGTACACATATATGTGTGACATGAATATATACAATTTCATTTTATTAAAGTATGTTTGTATAATGCATAGGGTTCATAAAGGATGCATATTGCTCTTCCTCATTATGATTATGAAGTAAAAGTTTACTAATTCTAACAGATAGCTTTAAATAGGATTTAAATTAACCACTAAAACATGGTAAGCTCAGAACCAGCAGTTAGCATAATTGCTATGTTGCTGGACTTCCATGTAGTTAACTGTGGTTCAAGTCTTGGACTCAGTGGCTTAAACTCACACCAGGCACATGTGCGTGCATGCCGAAGACCCCAAGAGGAGAATGCAGGAGAAGGGATTGCAGCATGGCCATTCCCCCGGGGGGGTGATTTCCCGTTTTCTGTCTCTCTGTTTCTCTGTCTTTCTGGCAAGCACATGTGCCCTGTAGCAAAAACCTCTCAGGGAGAAAAAAGTAAGCTCCCTCGTGTATTCCAGGCTCCTGATGCTAAGCTGGTTCTCCCTCAACGTCCATGTAGCAGTGATCATTTGTATTTTGTTTTCTTTTGTGCATCTTGGCTAACAGCTGTTGTAGAAAATGGGGAAGATCGCTGATGTCCGGTCTCGGTGTTCTCTTAGTTCTTGTCCTCAATACCCAGACAGTTCTTTTGAGCACCACCAGGGTACTTATTCCTGCTTTCCCCACCTATGGCCTCAATTCTTCAAGGAATAGGAACAGCCCAGACATGGCCTGTGATGAGCTAGAGCAGCGGGCTCACACCACAGAAAGACAGAACAACTATTTTGCCGTTCTTCTATTTGTTCTCCTTTTTTCAGAATTCCAACCAGGAGTGCCATGGAAAGGTATCCAAAACATCGACCCTGAATCCGACCCCTATGTCACCCCGGGAAGTGTGCTGGGGGGCACAGCCACATCTCCCATTGTAGATACTGACCACCACCTGCTGCGGGATAACACCACAGGTACGTGAGGGGTTCCCTGTGCGCCTTCAGCACCAGCGTTCTCACAGTTGTCGTCTGTGACTTCATTTGTCCTTGCTAATCCTTAACAATTTACTCAGAACACATAAGAATATTGTTTTGCACACTTATTTTATACTTTATTTTTCTTTTCATTGACATTTAAATAAAATACTCTCATAGTTTCACTGGTTATTCTGACATTTATCTCTAATATTTTTTTCTTGTTCATCATTTTTCACCCTAAGGGTCTAATTCTTCCCTCAACACCTCGCTGCCTTCACCTGGTGCCTGGCCCTACAGTGCCTCTGACAACTCCTTTACCAACGTTCATAGCACTTCAGGTACGAGTGCGACCTGCAAGCACTTTCCCATCAGGTCTCCATCAAAATGGAAACTGGCTTTTATTTCTTAAAAAATATTCTCACAGAAGCTGAATAGCATAGGTCAGCATGAGTGGAAGTACACCTCGTGTATTTGCCACGTCCTTGAGGAGCTTCTGTGTTCTCACAGGCCATGAGACAGATGAAGTTTGGGATGAGGCCGACAGTGATGGGATGCAAGGAGCTGGGAAGTTCAGAGGGCAGAGGTTGCAGCCCAGTGACATGAATGCTCTTCTCTTAGTCAGCTTGCCGGACCGTAAGAGTGCGATGGGAAAAAGCAGTTGGTTCCTAAGGCAACCTATTATAGCTTATTTTTCTCTAAAAACCCTTCCTCTTGAAGACAGAATAAGGGTAGATGGCCAAAGGATAAAGGAAGACCTCAATTAATTTTACCAACAAACACTAAGGAATGGATGGGGGCTGGATGGTGGTACAGCGGTTAAAAATGGCACTCTACAAGGCTCGCCTACATGACGAGGTTCTGGGTTCGTTTCCAGAGACCTCCCTGAATTCATAGGGAAACCAATGCTCATGATTTGGAACTGGCTAAAGCTGAGAGTGCATTGCAGCATTGAGACATTGTTGGGGAGTGCTTCCCTCCCCACGTCTTTGTAAACATACAAATAAAATACTGTAAAAAGACAGTAGGTAATAGAAGAGTTGTTGGATATAATAATAAAGGTTTTGAAATCTAACTTAGTACAACACCTTATCAGTTGACAGATCTTAAGTAATTGACACCTTGGTTTCATAAAAGTTGGACCTTTGGCCATTCGAGTCATTAAGACTTTAGTGCTTAGTGCAGGCAAAAGTAAATAAAGCAAACCTTTAGCTGCCTACGAAGTCACTGCATGTTAATGGTCTATGAATTGTGCTTTTCTAAATTTTCACTGTGTATGGCCCAGCATGTGACGTGGTGGTTAAGGCACTGGACACTCCCACATAGCTGACCATGGTTTGAATCCCGGATCTGGAGGCTTGCTTTCTCACTTTCTCTCTCTCTTTCTCTCTCTCTGTGTATCTCTGTGGCTCTGGTCAAATTAAAATAAATGGATGAATAAATTAATTCTTTAAAAAATTTCCACTTGGGACCAGCAGTTAGCGTAATGGCTATGTCGCTGAATTCCCATGTAGCCGACTGTGATTCAAGTCCCAGACCCGGTAGCTTAAACTCACGCCAGGCGCATGTGCGTGCGTGCCCAAGATCCCGAGAGGAGAATGGAGGAGAAGGGATTGCGGTGTGGCCATCCCCCCTGGGGGGGCGATTTCTCACTTTCTATCGCTCTGTCTCTCTCTGTCTTTCTGACAAGTGCACGCACCCTACAGCAAAAAAAAAAAAAAATTCCTGCTGTGTGTCATACCCACAGTACAGCAGTGACCTCCTGCTCATCGAGTGCTTCTGCAGGCCAGGCATCTTGCTAAACCTCAACTTGGATTCTGCTTTTGACTCGGTCTTATTGTTACCCCATGTCATGGATGAAAAAGTCAAATTCAAAGAGGTGCTATAATTTGCCTCAGGTCTGAACAATTGTGTAAAGGCAGCACCTTAATATTCCATGTTCCTGAGAACAGCAGATGAACTCTTATGTAGTCAGCTGCAATTCGAGTCCTGGGCCTGGCAACTTAAAGCTCACGCCAGACACGTGTGCATGCATACCCAAAATCCTGAGAAGAAAATAGGGGAGAAGGGATTATGGGATGGCCATCCTCCCTAGAGTATGGTTTCTTACTTTCTGTCTCTCTCTTTCTCCCTGTCTCTCCAATGAGCACATGCACCCTATAGCAAAAAACCTTTTTTTAAAAAAATAATTACTTATTTATTTTATTCCATTTATTGTTATTATTTTTCAATTTGACCAGATAGAGACAGAGGGAGAGAGAAAGAGAAACCTAGAAAGCAAGCTGCCAAGTCCAGGACTCAATCCGCGGTCAGCCACATGGGAATCCAGCACCTTTAACCACCACACCACCTGCCAGCCCCCTGTAAAAAATCTTTAAGAAAAATAGAAATCCATGTTCCTAACTACCCTGCTGCATTATACTTTTATTAGGACCTATTTTATGTGTAAAAATCTATTTTCACCCAACACTTTGAGTCCTGCAAATACTCGTATCTCAGGTGAGCCACATAACTTTTTCCTACTATTAGACAATCACCTGAGAAAAGGCCCATGAGTTGCCTCAGACTTGTCAAAACTGAACCTATACTTCGTCTCCCAAATTGTCTTTCCTTTTTAATGAAGCTCTTTAGTTTCCTTTTCTTTTTTTTGTTTTGTTTTGTTTTGTTTTTCTTTAGTTTTTGTTATAGTTCGCATGCTCTCACCAGAGAAAGACAGAGAAGGGTGGGGTGTGATTAATCACCCCCCCAAGGGGTTGGCCACACCACAATCTCTTCTCCCCCATTCTCCCCTCAGGATTTTGAGCATGCACACAAAAATTTGGTATATTTTTATTTATTTATTTTTAAGACAGATTTTTGCTATAGGGCACTTGTGCTAACTGGAGAGACAGAGAAACAGGAAGCAAGAAATCACCCCCTGGGGGGATGGCAACACCACAGTCCCTTCTCCTCCATTCTCCTCTAGGGATTTTGGGTACACATGCACACATAGCAGGCATGAGTTTTAAGCCACTGGTTCTTGGACTCAAACAATGGTCAACTAACTGGGAGTCCAGCAACATAACCGTTCCACCATCTGCTGGTCCCAAACTCAGTATGATTTTCAAGATGGCGGGTCCAGGACTTGAATCACAGAGTCAGCTTTGTGGGATCCAGTGCGTTAACCACCATGCAACCTACTGGCCTAGAAGCTCTTTTAGTTTTCTTAATGATGCCCTCATGTCATTTTGTCACAAAATCTCAGTATTTCTTCCCACCTTCTTCTCTTCCTCACTCCCTAGATCCAGCTCATAATGTCTCCTGAATGGTTTCTTCCTCAATCGTATTTCTCATCCATTCCTTCTGTCCACCAGGTTTAAATACCCTACACTGAATCTGTTGCAAAAACTGACAGCATCTTAATCCGCCCCCCGCCTGCATTAGTAGTCTCTGTCCTTTTGACCCTATGCCGTGTTGTTCAACCAGAATCATAGGACACACTTGGTACAGGGAAAGTTACGTTGGCCCGTAATGTACATTCTCTTGTTTCTCTGAGCCCACCCATTTGGGTAAATCTGGCAGGATTTGTCTTCGTAACACGTTTGCTGACAACCTAGCATTTTCTTTCTCCTCTGTGTATTGAACATGTATGATGTTGCCAGGGATTACTAATTTTGTTGTTCGTCTCTTCTCTTTCCATCTGAACATGGGGTTCTTGAGGTTGGCTGTTTATATTGCCCACAGCCAGTGCCAGACACTGATAACAGTGCCTCGCGTATAGTACAGTCGTATTGTACAGTAAGCCCTTCTTTTTGGGTGTTTGAAAAATTCGCTTGAATGGTGATACATAATATGCTGGATCGAGACACAAGAAAAGCATAAAAGTTTCTAATTTTCTATTTAGTCAGTAAATATTTATAACATGCTTTAGTTCCTCCAGGGTCCACATTCTAACTACATTTATCAGTTTATAAGCCTGATGGCTTTAGGAATACTCAGTCCTTGACTATACCTTCCATTTTAAGTGGTTTTAGTTAAAGTAGTAGAGAGTAGAGGATTGGTTAACCTTTTCATAGGTTAACTTTGTCCATTCAGAGTAATAGTTACTGAATTTTTTTTTATTTTTTATGTGAGCAGTAAGCTCAAAGAACAACGTTGTTATACTTTTTGGAATATAAATATGTATCATTTATGTGTGCGCATAGACAAAATGTATATTGATAACAAAAGTGACTCAGGTAACCTTGTTCTTTCCGTCATTTTTCTCTTACAGCAAAGTTCCCTGATTACAAATCAACATGGTCCCCTGATCCCATAGGACACAACCCCACTCATCTCTCCAACAAGATGTGGAAAAATCATATTTCCTCCAGGAACACTACACCGCTGCCCCGCCCACCTCCTGGTCTGACCAACCCCAAACCGTCATCTCCCTGGAGCAGCACAGCACCCCGATCAGTCAGGGGGTGGGGGACACAGGACTCACGGCTTGCCTCGGGTGAGGAGGACCTGCCTAAAGGAGTGCCATTGTTCATCCAAAGGGGCTTATGTTAACGCAGGTGGTGAAGATAGGAAGAGGTCTTCATGAGAAGAAACCGTGGCTGTCTGGTGGAGAAAAAATTGTCCTTTGAGTGGAAAATTGCAGTCAGTATAAGGCAAAGGGACCCAAGAGTGCCCAAGGGACAGATGGAATAAAAATGAAGAGCGGAGTGAGAACACTGGGAGAACACTGTGTTCCTGATGAGAGGTGTAGGGGCGCATGGGGTCAGGGCGGAGTAGAAAAGAAAAGGTCAGTGTCAGGTGGGAAGAGAGAGAGCTCACAAACAGGGAACGTGTCGGCTCTGTGAAAATGTGTCCCTCGCGGCTGTCTTGAAACGTTTGGCTCTTCCTAAATCATTTTTCTGGTTGTTTACAGCCTCTACCTGGAGTGATGGTGGCTCAGTTCGTCCCAGTTACTGGCTGGTTCTTCACAATCTCACTCCACAGGTAATCCTGCTACCTCATGGTTTTCTAGCTGGGACTTGAGTGGGTTAATAGAGAGGCTTGAACATGAAAGCTTTGTTTCTTGGGCACTGCAAGGAGGTCTTGCCTGCAGGAGATGGATCTTCCCTTCCCACCCAAGGTTCACAACCTGCTCTCAAAGGAGGGGTGCCTGTCGCTCAGCTGCATGCCTGCTTTCATGAGATAGTAACATGCTTAATTTATAAAATGGTAGGGTATTCTTATCTGGTAGTTTATGCATGGCAGAGAGAATTTACTGCAAAGAAGTGCCTGTCAGAATCTGGAACCAAGTGGATAGGGATGTTTCAACCACACATGGTAAAGCTATACCTGTTTTTGTGTTAGTTATTTCTCAAGACCTGAGGCTCAGTATTAACCATTTTTATGCATCATAAATAATTAACCATTCATTTCTGCAGCAGAAGGGATCCTGTCAATTTTATAGCATACATGCCCCGTGGGTGCTTTTAATGTTCTGTTCTCCTCTTTGTACCAAGATGGCATTCTAGCTCGCTTTCATCAGAACATGACCTCAGGGTGGTTTTTTCCATGGTGGTATTTCATGTGCTCCAAGCCACCCCCCCTTTCACCTTAATAACTAATGCAATGCCTTTGCAGCACCATTATGCTGAACGCTCAACTGAGACCGAATAAACCGTCAGAATTGAACCTGGACCAGACAGCACAACCTTTACAATACCTTGTTTACAAACTTAAATATGCCTTCTTCCTTTTATTTTATTTTATTTTATTTTTAAGATTTTTGCCATCAGGAGCGTGTGCTCACCAGAGACAGTAAGAGGGGAAAGTGAGAAATCACTCCACAGGGGATGGCTATGCCACAATCTCTTCTCCTCCATTCTCTTCCTGGGATTTCAGGCACGTGTGCACACACGCCCAGCATGATTTTTTAAACTGCCAAGTGCAGACTCGAACCAGGGTCAGCCATGTGGGAGTCCAGTGCCTTAACCACCATGCCACTTGCTGGCCTCATGCCTCCTCACTCCTTTTCACACATGAATTCATTGTAAGAGGAGAACGGAGGAGACAGGATTGAGGCATTGTCATTCTTCCTGGAGAGTGCTTCCTTTCTCTCTCTGTCTCTCTCATGCCCTATAGCAAATTTTTAAAAAGAAATACATATAGCTATCCCACAGTGTCTTCAGGGATTGACTCCAAGACCCCGTGTGGATACCAGAATTCAAGAGTTCAAGTCCCTTAATACAAAATAGCTTAGTAGTTGCATATAACTTATACTTATCTTCCTGCATAGTTTAAATCATTTTATGATTAGTTGTAATACCTAATATAATACCCATGTGTCACTTAATTCACATGAAATCAGTGTACTACTCTATACACAGCAAATCTAAGATTTTTTAAAATTTAACTTTATTTATTTTAATTTGACTGGAGAGGGAGGGAGAGAGAGAGAGAGAGAGAGCGAGCAAGCAAGCCACCAGGTCCAGGACTCGAATTGTGGTCAGCCATGTGGGAATCCAGTGCCCTTAACCACCATGCCACCTGCTGGCCCTTTTTTTTTTTACAGTATGTATAAGTTTTGCTTTTTGGAACTTTGTAGAATTTTTTTCTTCTCTCCCCCCCCCGATTTTTTTTTAAATTTAAAAAAATTTTTAATTTTTTAAATTTTATCTGTTATTGTTATATTTTTGATTTGACCAAAGAGAGAGAGAGAGAGGGAAAGTGAGAAAGCAAATCGTCAGGTCCGGAACCCAAGCTGTGGTTTGCCATGTAGGAGTCCAGCTCTCTCAGCCACCGTGCCACTTGCTGGCACCGGCCCTGAATGTTTTTGATCTATGATTGATGGAATCTGCTGATAAAGAACCCAAGGTGGTCCAGCAGGTAACATGGTAGTTAAGACACTACATCTCACATGTTCAACTCCATGGTTTAGTTCCTGGACCCAGTGATATAAAAATCACACCAGGCATCTGTGCATGCATGACCAAAATCCTGAAAGGAGAAGGGATTGCAGAGTGACCATCCACCCTGCGGTGTGATTTCTCACTTTCTGTCTCTCTCTAGCAAGGACATGCGCCCAATGGCAAGAAAATCTTAAAAGAACCTATGGATAGAGGGCTGACACAACAGAAAAACCTGTCCTTTCCCTGCTCCTGTGGGGCCTCGTCATCTTGGAGTCCTTTTTTCTCCTCCTGGGTACATGCACCCAGTATGTTTCTGAGGCCACCAGGGTCTCAAATTATGGTTGGCCATATGAATCTGGCTGCTTCTGCTTAGCACCTAAGTACTACACTACAGAGCTGACCTAAGTATGAAGTCTTACCCTCAAAATTACACATGCCTCGGGGTTTTTTGATTGTTTGTTTGTTTTTGAGGAGTTGTCACATAGTCTGGTTATTACATGGTTTGGATAAGAGGAATAATAAAGGGACACTGTTTTGAAAAGAGCTTAGACAAGCTCACCAGCTGTTTACATGTTCTGTCTTAAGAAAAACACTAAGTATACATGTACATGTGCATAAAATGAATGTGGGCATGCAAGTGTTCCACAACTTACAAGGTGTTACATTCCATAGACACTTTATAAGTAAAAATTGCATTTTATATTTCTAACCTACTGAACATCATAGCTAGCCAAGCCTGTCTTAAATGTGCTCAAAATATTTACATTCATATAGTTGGGCAAAAATAATCTAATGCAAAACCTATTTTATGATAAAGTACTGAATATCTCATAATTTACCGAATACTTTCCTGACAGTGAAAAACAGAATGAAGTTCAGCTTCTACTGAATGCACATTTGCTTTCATACCGATGTAAAATCAAAACATCCTAAGTCAGGTGCTATCTGTATTAGAAAGACTTACTTTAAAAGAATTAGAACTACTTGGGACCAGCACATAGCATAGAGGTTAAGGCAGTAACTCCCATGTGGCTGGCTGCATGGTTTGAGTATCAGACCCAGTGATTTAAAAAAGCACATTTAAAAAAATGCATGTGTGCCCAAAATTCCTCGAGGGGAATGGAGAAGGGATTGCTGTGTGGCCTATACTCCCAGGGGGTGATTTCTTACTTTCCCCCACTCTCACTGGCAAGCACACATGCCCTATAGCCAAAAAAAAAAAGAGAGAGAGAGAAAGAAATCGTTTCTACCTCATGACGATGCAAGTGTAGGAGTAAGATAGTGTGTGAACTAGGTTGCCATTAACATTCCGAATATGGTTAGCAGTGCTTTTCTGGTTTGTTTCTTTCTCTTTTGCTCTTCATATTGTTAACTAGGAAGGCAGAAGACTAATACACTAGTGATAATGCTGAAATTTGTAAAAATTTGCTGTTGGGTGCATACACTTACCAGAGAGAAAGAGAGAAAGCAGCCTCTCCCCCTCCCCCCCCGCCCCCATCCAGAGAGATGGCCATGCTGCAGTCCTTCCTCCTCCATTCTCCGTTAGAGATTTTGGGCACCCACATACCTGTTTATTTGATTATTTTTTATTTTTTAAAGAGATTTTTGCTATAGGACATGTCAGCTTGGCGCAGAGACAGACAGAAAGTGAGAAATAATCCCCGGGGGGGCGGGGGCGTAGATGGCCATGCCACAGTCCCTTCACCTCCATCCTCCTCTTGGGATTTTGGCACACACACGTGCCCAGTGTGTTTCAAGACTCCAGGTCCAGGTCTTGAACTGCAGTTGACCACGTGGGAGTTCAGCACCTTAACCACTGTGCCACCTGCTGGGCCTGACCTGGCGTGTTTTTCAAGCTGCTGGGTGGGGGACCCAAACCACATAGTTAGCCATGTGGAATCCAGCCACCCCAACCACTACACCACTGGCTGGCCCCAGTGCTGAGAACTGTATGTTAACTTATTTCCTTATTTGGATGTTATTTCATTACTGCCCTTTTTGGCTCTACAAATTAACATAGCACTTGTTTATTACTTAGAGAAAATAGACTACAGGATGAATCATATGCCTTGTTTTGTAACTGTATTTCTGGCAACTTTTTTATTTACAGATTGTGTACAGTAGCTCTCAGCTCAGTCAGTGCTCTGAATAAGGTTTGCCTTCCCACCTCCCCTATTCCCATCTCACGAATGTTGTTCCTCCTTAGATTGATGGGTCCACGTTGAGAACCATCTGCATGCAGCATGGCCCATTGCTGACATTCCATCTGAATCTAACCCAGGGCACTGCCCTGATTCGATACAGCACCAAACAGGAGGCGGCCAAGGCCCAAACTGCACTGCACATGTGAGTATTCCAGCCCCGCTCACTCAACAAAGTGCAGGAAGGTGCCACGTATTTGGGCATCTGCATAACAGCCAAAGATGCAGGAGAACGTGCCCCAGAATGGCCCCATTGCATGTGCATGTACAGTCACGGGTATTCAGGAAACAGGTCTTTCTCATCTAACTAAGCGTAGATTGTGTCTGTTGCTGGAAGCTGTGCTCCAGCCGGGGTGGGTACACAGGAAGGCGACACGGGTGAACAAAGTTAGGCGAAGACTGGGCCGGCAGGTGGCTTGATTGGTTAAGGGTGCTGGACTCCCACATGGCCAACCACAGTTCGAGTCTTGGACCTGGCAGCTTTCTCTCACTCTTTCTCTCTCTCTCTCTCTCTCTCTCTCTCTCTCTCTCCCTCTCTCCCCCTCCCTCCCTCCCTCCCTCCCCCTCTCTGGTCAAATTGAAATAAATAAATGAATGAGTCAATAAAGTTAAATAAAAAATTTTCAAAAAAGAATTGCAAATGTAAATACGTGAAGTTGTAAGTAAATAGGAAAAATGAAACCAATGTTTATAAAACTGTGAAACATTGTAAGTGCTGTCATTTTCCATATTAGAACCTACCTATTCACTTAGATCTCTTCGCAAATTATGAACTGTTGTGGTCTTGGGGGAATATTAGGGTTTTTGCTTGAAGTAGGTGGGACTTCTTCAGTCAGATTTTGACTGTCCACCTACCTGCCCCTGTCAGACTGACAGAGAAGAGTTGAGTTCCAGTAGCTACAGATGCCACAACAAAACTACACACAGCAGACACGGTGGTGAGGTGCAGCCAGTGAGCCCTAAGACCGAGCACTTCCAGGTGTCAGAACTGAGCTGCCTCAAGATTTTGGATGTGATCTTTTACTTTAGATGGGCATAAAAAGATGACTTTTTAAAAAGTCTTTATTTTGCAGAAGCTCCATGATCTTGTGGTTTAAGCAGCCAGATTCCATATTACTGACCCTGTGGTTAGAGTCCCAGATCCAGCAACTTGAGAAACACACCAGGCATGTGTGTGTGCATGCCCAAAATCTCAAGAGGAGGGAGAAATGGAGAAGGGATTGTGTCATGACCATTCCTCATGTGGGGAGCTTTCTCCTCTGTCTCTCTGTCTCCCTGACAAGTGCACTCATACACACATACACAAAGACTTTCCGTGAGCTCATAGCAAAATTGAGAGGAAGATACAGAGGTTTCCTATACTTTTCCTGCCCCAACACATGCTTGGCATGCCCCATGATTGGCTTTCCATGCCAGAGTGGAACATTTGTCCCAGCTGATGAACATGCGTGTCACTTTAGTGCACCCCTGGTGCTGTACATTCTGCGGGTCTAGACGAGCAAGTAATGACAGGTGTCCCTCATTACAGTTACATGTCGTTTTGCTGACTGAAATACTCTCTGTGCTCCACTCATCCTCCCCCTCCCCACCACACACACATTTCTTTTTTTATTGACAAGTGGTCAGGAATGTATAAGTTCCATATACCAAGAGATATCTGTACATAGTATTCTCTTGTGGCCTCTGGATATCTTGATCATTAGAGATACCTTTTACTTTAAAATTTGCCAAAGAGTGCATGCACTCACCAGAGAGAGAGAAGTAAGAAAACATTCACTGTGGGGGCAGATCACAGTGCAGTCCCTTCCCTTCCATCTCCTTCTCCTTTTGCCATTTTGGGCACACATATGCACCCCACATGTATTTTCAAGCTGCTACATCTTGGACTAGAACTGTGTAGTTGGCCACATGGAATCCAGCTGCCTTACCCACCAGGACATGGACAGCCCCCTTGTCACATTCAATTAATAGTTCTCTATCACCTAGCAGTCCAGTTGAAATGCAGGTTCTCATCCCATAGGCCTGGGGTGGGGCCCGTGATTCTGCATTCTAAAAAGCACCCTGGAGTAAGGGGCTTCTGGTCAAAGGACCGCACATTGATAGTGAGGACTGAAAGTATTTGACCCAGAGCCAGCAGGCGGATGGTGGGAAGGGCACTGGATTCCCACATGGCCGACCGTGGTTTAAGTCCTGGACCCTAGCGGCTTGCTTTCACTTTCTCTCTCTCTTTGTCTGTCGCTCTGTTCCTCTCTCGTCAAATGAAAATTAATTAATTAAGTTGATTGAAATAATTCTTTTAAAAAAAGAAAGTATTCAATCCTTGTGTATGCTGTCGGATTTTCCTCAGATCCATAGCTCTCTTCTCCCTTTTTCTAGGTGTGTGTTGGGAAACACTACCATCCTAGCTGAGTTTGCCACCGATGACGAAGTTAGCCGCTTTCTGGCGCAAGCTCAGCCCCCTACACCTGCAGCAACCCCAAGTGCACCGGCTGCGGGTTGGCAGTCACTGGAGACTGGCCAGAACCAGTCAGATCCGGTTGGACCTGCTCTGAATCTTTTCGGTGGGTCCACTGGGCTCGGGCAGTGGAGCAGCAGTGCTGGTGGCAGCAGTGGGGCCGATCTTGCTGGCGCTTCGTTGTGGGGTCCCCCAAACTATTCTTCTAGCTTGTGGGGAGTTCCTACTGTAGAAGATCCCCACAGGATGGGCAGCCCTGCTCCTTTACTACCTGGTGACCTTCTTGGAGGAGGGTCGGATTCAATCTGAACTTAGAACTTTCAACTCTGACCTCGTGACCTTTTTTGGAACAGCAGCAGCACTAACTTGACCTTTTCGTTTTTTTTTTCAACTTGCAATAAATACATTTTTAAAAGGAAAAAAGAAAACGGAGAGAGAAAAAAAGGTGGGGCATTGACAGACTGTCTGAGCACATAGTTGCCTCCCTTATAACTTCAGTTTTTTCGTTTGGAATATGAATCCAAAAAGAGAACATATCACTCTTGAAATACTTGAATCATGAACGCCAACCTAGAAAGACAATGTGAAGCAAGTACACATACCATTTAAATTTAAACACAAAAAAATTAAAAAAATTAGTTTCTAGTTTTTCACTTTTTTCATGTTATATGGAAGTTGTTGCTAAGAAACATATATACTGAAAAAAAATAGCTTTTTAACTTTGTTTGCACTGGGTGTGTTTCCGTCCTTAGGTCTACCATGTTTGGGAGGGAGGGAAATTCAAAAGAATTGTTGGGGGAGGGGGGAGGGAAGACTTGACGGAGCCTCACTTTAAAAACAAAAACACAAAAAACCTAAAAAAAAAAAAAAAAGGAAAAAATTTGAGATTGGCTGGTTGATAAATACCAGTGTGTTCTGGCACATGTAACTGCCCAGGCATGCTCGTTCTGGTATGTGTGTGCACGTGTGTTCATGTGCATTCGCGTGCATCCTTCTCTCTGTCTCTGTATGTGTGTGCCTGTGTCCTGCCCTCCTCCCTCTACCCTTCTGACTTCTCGAAAAGCTGCATTGCTGACAGTCTGCAGGCTGGCTGGCCGGCCATCTGCTTTTTATTTTTATTTTTGTTTTAGATTGAGACACACAAGCACAGGGAGCCACTGCTACTGGCGGCTCCACTGGGCTGTGTGGAGGTGAGCAGAGTACTTTTTAATGATGAGAGCAGGGTGCTCCTTTCCATTTTCACATTAGCCCAAAGGTGAGATTTCCCTAGCTTTTCTATTGACCTAGCAGTAGAGTGGAGCACTGCCAAGTCCAAAAACTCAAAGCTCAGGAGGTACCTCTCTCTTAGAGCAACTCTGTGTTTATTTCTGTTTTTTAAAGTGAATGGCCACTAGGCACATTGGAGTATCTGACATTTCAGGCCTTTTGGTTAGCTTGGGAACAGAAGTTAAGATAGTTTTTAATTATGTGATGTCTCAAAAGCAGAAAAACTGTGTTCCCTCTTTCCTGTGTGATCAGGTATGAGAAAGGTGTCAAAAAAAAAATCAGGTAATGCCGAATTCAAGGTTTCTATTGGTTCTCTCTTTCATTTTGTGAAACCAGAAACAAGCGTGAGCAGCCTCCTGCAAGCCCCGCAGCTCCTCCCTCTACTCCCCTCGCGCTGAGCGTTACCTGTGCCAGGCCCTGGCGTGTTACAGCACCAGGCCATCACTGACAGAAACGTTTACTTAACGAATGTTCTTAAACCAGTGTGTACTTCAAGCGTTTCCTTTTGTTCCTCTGTGTTGTGTATTTCCTGTGTATGTGGTTTTGCTTAGGCAGGTATAACTTAGCAAAGACTTAAGTATTGCACCTTTTTTTGGTTTTGACCTCTTCCCTCCCCCTTTGTAATGTTGCTTTTTTATTTCGGTATTTAAAGACTTATTTTTTTTTTTATTATTATTAAGCATCAATGTAGTAGTACTCTGGGCCGAACAGGGGGCAACGTTTAATCCACAGTTATCACCAACATGTATGTACTTATGTTGGAATCAAAATGTATCAGACTGCTTATTGTGAAGAGAGTTATAACAGACCTGAAGGGGTACCCATTTATGCGAAGCAGATGGCTGGTGGGGTGGCGGGTGGGGGAGGGGTTGTGTGCCGGTGACGTGCTAGCACGTGTGTGGACCTCCCAGTCTGCATCATACTGTTTAACATAAAGTGCCGACATTCTGTACCAGCAGATACCTGCCCATTCCAACCCTTGGTGGGAGCAGACCTCTACTGTCCTCCATAACTTGCTGCTATTGAGGACAAGGGAGTTTTTCTTTCTTTAGCATCTTCAGTGAAGGATACAACAATGCCTAATGTTTTTGACTTGTAGCTTGTGTCTGTGTGTAGGGGGGTACGTATAGGAAAAGGCAAAAACGAAGTCTTTGAATTTAAGTGGTTCTGTGAGACACAGAGTGGGACATTCTGTAGTCCTCTTGCTTACCCTGTTGGCTATATACCTAGCCTCAGTAGAGACCGACAGACATAATTCAAGTGAGGGGGAGGGTGGTCTCACTCGAGTCCGAGGCTTGGCTTTGATCCCGCTGGATGCCTGGTTAGAACCTGAGCGTGCCCTCCTCCTGCCCTCTGGGTTTCATCACCACTGTGCCCTCCGCCACTGCCCTCGTACAGTGTCCAGCCCCCACTGACTGCTCTCTGTGTGTGGTGACCTCCAGGTGAAGAGCAGCTTGTGTTCAGACATCTACAGAAGGCAACATCTTAGTGTCCCTGGGCCCGCGCACGACCCAAGGCTCCCGCAAGCCCGAGGTGACTCTGTCCACTGCCGCTCTGGTTCACTGCTGTGTCCCGCCCTGCCCTCCTCTCCTCCTGCCTGTTGGTTCCTTGACCTGCACTATGGGTTAGTTGAGTTCCTTACGATACTACGGTGAAAGCCGGGTGCTAGAGCCCCTCTTGTTTACAAGACATAATGAGGGATTTGAAATATGTAAAATAAACATGAGAAGCTAAAATGTTCTTCCATCATAAGCTTAAAGGGAAAAAACTAAAAACTTAAAAAAAAAAAAGACCAAAAAAGTGCGTATATATATACATATAAATATATATTTTAGATGAAGACTAACTCTGGGAGCATTTAACAGTGTTTTTTTTGTTTTTGTTTTTAACATTTATTTTCCTGCTTTAAAATTTGCAAGCATTCTCAGGAATTCTAGGGTAGGAAGCCAGTTTTTGAGGATGGTTTATTTAACCATATCTTATCCTAGATAGACGGCTGTTTCTTTCCTGTTAATAACTTTTACAAGTTCCTGAAACTTCAGAAAGTTTAAACAATTTTTACTTAAAAAATGTAAAAAAGAGAAGTCTCCAAACATATTGTCATACTGGGGAAATCACACATTTTAAGACACATAGAAATATTTTTTAAAAATTATCAATTTAGCAGCAACAGGTAAATTCATTATATTAAAAAAATATGGGAGAAGGAGTAAGCTTTCTAAGAGCTCTGTCATAGATTCATTTGAAATTGTGTGTAATTTAATGGGAGAGTGTTTGGTGTATATAAATGGGAATGCCATCATTTTGTTCTTTTCCATTTAAGGCTGAATTGCAATCTCCCCTAGTAATTTTTTATTTTTTTAAAGGAACCCTTCTCCCTATCCCCCCAACCCCAGCAACAAAAGGAAGAAAGAAACAACAGATTAAAAAAATAAAAAAAAAAAAAAGAGTAACTAATCTGTAAAATAGTACGGTTGGATTGCTGAGAATCTATGTAAAGAGTTAGGAAATATAGGTTAATAATTTTTGGAACAAATTTTAAATATAGGCATTACTAGAGGAGAATTATCTATGGACTGTTCTATTAATGAAGAATGTCTGTCTTACCTCCGTTTGTTGTGGGAGGAGAAAATATAGAAGAATCTAATAAGGAACAAGTGATTTTTTACTTTCTTAGCTCCCAGCTACTGTTGCGCTCGTTTTAATTGCTGTGTTGAAGATCTGCTGCTTAATTATCCCCATCCCTCAGCCAGAGATGTGGAGTTTTTCCTTTCAGTTTTTGGTGATGTTGAATTCTCCTTTTGTATTCCCTCCTGGGCCAGGGGTCAGAGTTCCCAAGCATGACCACAGCTTCTTTTAAACAGTAAGCGTCCCAGTGGGAAAGAAACTCCAGCTCGACAGGTAAAGGGAGTGGGTGGGATTGCTGCCTGCAATTTCTCTAAAACCGCTTTAGTGCCTTCGTACATACACCCAGACATCCTAAGCAGGGGGACGCGTGTGTATGTGCATGTGGTTCAGTCACTCCACAGATACTAAGATGCTTGCCCATAAAGGAATTTTGGAGTGGTTCTGGACAGGCCCCAAAGGCAGTGGGCTCAATTTGAAATAAAACACAAAAATTAGGAAAGTTAAATACACTTTGATGTCTCAGTAATGTGGAATGCCAAGTTCCTCCCCTGTGTTTTAATGCCCATTCCTGTGCATTGACTTCTCCGGGTGTGTAATTGCGACAACTGCAGTGCTTTGGAAAGTCTCTCTGCGTTGGGCCAATGGCGAGGGGTTCCCGATTTTCTGCTTGTGTCCTCCTTTTTCTCCCCAAGCTCCCCCCCCACCCAAAACCCGTTTTGTCAGCTCGTGGAAGTTTTGCTTTGTTGGTTGGCAGTGACCTAAGTACAGGATATGGTGAGGATGTCATGGGAGAGAAAAAAGCTCTTCTCTTTCCATGGTGTTCTTGGGCAAGAGCCATGTCTACTGAGAGGTCAGGTGACTTCAGCACACAGGAAATTCAGTGGGAGGGTTTTCTCTTCCACCATATTCACGCATATGTACAAAGGCTTGCTGGTCACCCCTCACGACAGATTTATGAACATTTTGACCATGTAAGTTTGAACTTTCCATTTTTTACTAGTTTTTTTTTTTTTTTTTTAAACATTTGTGACTAGAGGGGCGTGCATCTCTTGAACATCACACACCTGGTTTCTGTTGGCCACGCTTTGTTGGTTGGCAGTGACCTAAGTACAGGATATGGTGAGGATGTCATGGGAGAGAAAAAAGCTCTTCTCTTTCCATGGTGTTCTTGGGCAAGAGCCATGTCTACTGAGAGGTCAGGTGACTTCAGCACACAGGAAATTCAGTGGGAGGGTTTTCTCTTCCACCATATTCACGCATATGTACAAAGGCTTGCTGGTCACCCCTCACGACAGATTTATGAACATTTTGACCATGTAAGTTTGAACTTTCCATTTTTTACTAGTTTTTTTTTTTTTTTTTTTAAACATTTGTGACTAGAGGTGCGTGCATCTCTTGAACATCACAAACCTGGTTTCTGTTGGCCACATAAGTAGCCAAAAGAAGAGAAGTACTAGGAGGGGAAAGGCTGTCTTCCGACAGACAGGAGGCTGTTGCTGTTATTCAGGCCCAGTGCCGTGACCTAACTTCAGGTGTGTAAAGAAGTTCAAATCTCAGAGACACTGTGCAGAAATGGATGGCCCGGTCACATCTCTGATCCCTCAGTCCTTAACCATTGAAGCTTTTCGTTTATCACATTCACAGGAGTTTCACTGATGAGCAGTGTTGCAAGTGAGGCTCCAGCCCAAATTCTTCCATAAGTGTACCTCAGTGAGCCAGACTCATCCATTCGTTGCCATTTGATCAGTTTTATCTTGAATTCCAATTACTTCAGCTCCTGTTCTGAAAATTTTCCCACACTTCTGACACGAATGTAGCGTAAGTTAGCAATTGGTTCGTCTAAGCACCTGCGAGTTGAATGTGGTTTATAAGGGTACAGAAGGGGGGAAAACAGAAAAGAAACTCCTGCCTAAGAATGTGGAAGCACCTTTACTCAAATATCTAGCAGAAACTAAAAGTTCATGGGCGATTAACTTGTTGCAAATATTCACTATCATTTTCACCACTTTATTTGAGTGGAGGGCAGTTTTTGTAGGGTTAACAGACAAATTCCATTTTGACCTCAGACATTTTAAAATTTTATATTCTGCCATCCTGACTCTCCTCTTCAATAGAAAGAAAATACGTTTGTGCTGAGCAAACTACGCAAGCCAAGCCTGTTCTCCTGGTGGGGTAAACAGGATGTTTTCAGCAGACCTTGCGATAGTAGCCATCCCTAAGGTTAGGGAACAACTGAATCTGTGTAGAAGAGGTCCACTTCCCATCCTCAGAGTTAAAATTCAACACGTAAAACTTCGTAGGCTTGAATTTTTTATTTTAAGTATTCTATAAGGTTTCTAAGGAGTAGCAGTACATTTTTTAGCTGGTTTTAACAAAATCAAACTTCTCCAGTGTTTTTGCCAAGTTTTTCATACTTCATGTCTATGCATTAACTGCTCTTCCTAGTGTTACTGCAAAAAAATTCTTGTTCTTTTTCCTCCTGTTACTGTACAACTAGGCCACGAACAATAGTGCAAATGAAAATATTCTAGCCTGTGTGTACACAATGGAATGTCAATCTTTAGACCTCAGTAATCATTCAGAAAATAGGGTGCCCTCCACCCCGCTGGACACCAGGCTGTATGCCCTCTGCTTCCTTATCTGAAAACACAAGGTGCCCATCCAGTTCAGAAACAGACAACTGTACATAATGCTGTTGGGGACATTGTCCATATAGAGAAATATAGAATATTGTCTGTATTCCCAGAGTCTGTGCACACCCTGTAATAGGGTCTGTAAGTTTATGGTCAGTGCCAAAGGTGTGTAATACATTCAGAGGTGGTCCCCATTTGTCAACGTTAGTGTTTTTTTCTTGGCCTTAAATTTGACCGAAGGGGTGGCGTATCACATTCTTCAGATTTGAAATAATGATCATCTCCGGAAATCTATGAACGTAGTAAAAATTGGACACCAACCCACACACAGCCTCCCCAGCCCTACCCCATGCTGCCAAAGAAAGTGGCCATGAATATATATAGGATGGTTTGGCAGGCCTGGCCATGGGGTGGAGGGCTACTCCCCATGCTCAGCATCCTTGCCATCCACATGCATGTGGTTACTCGGGACTAGATCTCAAGCAGTCATGAACTATTCCCAACATCCAAGTCATTTTAAACTGTCAATCTGTTGTCACACCCTCTTGTCACCACCCAAGAAAGTAACAGAATTGATGGGAACTGCCAGTGTTTGCTGCACATCATTTAAATAGTTTCCTTTTCACTTTAGCTCTTCACCTACATTTGTTTTTAACAAGAAACTGCACACCAGGAAAAATGGTCCTGCCCTGACCACAGCACAGGTCTACACCAGGCTCCATCCATTAGGAGAGTGTTTTTCTAAAGCACTTGGTGCCTCAGCCTAGCTTTCAGGTTGTACTTCCCAATGATGATCAACTTGCTTCTAGCCAATATCGAGTCAGGTTTGTTTTTTTTCCAGAAGAGAAATTCCCGAAAGTTGCCAAGGCAGCTTCCATGTTGCCCTGGCGAGCTGTGCGTCCATGTGCTCCTGAAGCTACAGGAAGGTGTGCACAGGTTCACAGGGCTGGCAGAAGGAGCAGCCTGGCGGGCGGGCCAGCCTTACAGCGGGGCTGGAGGGAGAGGAAGACAGGACACCCTCTGTGTGTATGCCAGACCTGGAAAAGGAGAATATTTATGCAAAACAGAACAAAAACCTTTTGAACCCTTTAAGGATATACATACCTTTTAAAGGTAGTATAGTTTCTCACCAAGTGATGCATTTTAGCATGACACTTCTTGCCAGCAATATCAGGATTAGTGTGTTTAAAACACCCGTTCGTCTTTTTAATTTTGTCCAAGGAATTAAAGTGTAGTATTTCTGAATGTGCCTTTGTGAGGATAGAGACCATCTGTTTTAAGCAGCGGCTGTCGATTGGGATAAAATTTAAAAGACGGTCAGCCTAGCCTTTAGGGAAGTCAGCTTTTCTCCTGGAAGTCCCAAGGGCAGCTTTTGAGTTTTCATTAGCATCAACATTGCACAGTGTAGAGTTGTTGGAAAGAGGTTCTAGGGCTTGGGAGTGGGGATGATTAGGTGATGGTGCACAAATGACAGACCCCGGCTAGTCCAAGAGCTTGTTGAATTCACTGTTCATATTTTGTAGTTTCCTTCGTGTATCTGTGTGTGCGTGTGCGGCTGTGGCTATGTTTCGTTTTTCTGTAAGCACTGGAGAATTGGGAAGTGGCGATACATGCGACACGTTTATGTGCGTAAAGGCGTTTTCTAGCTCC